TTTTAAATGTACAATGATTTTAAGGAAAATAAGAGCATACAATTAAGAAATAGCTACCTCCTTACCAAGTTGATTACTGAATATTTTATTTTTTATATCATAATAATGTGCTTGTTATTTCAGTTTCAGAAGTTTTTAATACAGTGACTAGATGCATCTATTATTCTTACATTATAATATTAGCCATTGCAATGGTTTGACACAGCTGAAAGTAAAGTGTGCATTCACTAGCACTGAGTATTACAGGTTAGCTTTAAAAGAATGTGTAAAACTAAATAATGGAAGCAGGAAAGCTTCCATTATTTATTCTTCTCATTTTAAGGCCATTAAATTTGTGTTCTTTTTTAAGTATTGAATAATATAGTTCTATGACTTGCCATTGCCTGCAAAACTAATTTTGGAAATGTAAGAAGGTTTCTGTATACTTAAAAATACTCTGTTATTTTATTGTTAGCTGTAGTATTAGTCATGATGCACAGTAAACACTTAATGCTTTTTCTGTTCGTTGCATATATTCATTTATTGCACATGAATGTTGATTTTTATCCTGATAATTAAATAATTTATACTGTTGTCATTTTCGTTCATTTATGTTAATGGTCCCAAATGCTTATGATTTGAGTTTAAATGTGTAAAGCTTTGAGTGTGAGTGTTAATTTTATTACTTTTTTATGAGATCATATAATTGATGATATTCTGTGTTGAAAAATATGTTTAATATATTTCAATAATATGTTTAATATGTTATAGGCTCTTTAAATTCAGAATTATATGTACATATTAATTCAGAACGTTTTTGCATATTCTATATTGAAAAGTATTAGTATTGGCTCATAAAATTCAGAATTATTTGTGCATTATGATAACTATTTGTTATTTATAATTCACACGAGTTTTTGTAGCTACAAAAGCTCGTGTAATACCTAAAGTTAGATGCAAGATTTTAGTTTAGTAATGAAGAGTTATTACAAAATAAAAGTGACTGTCAGTGCTGTAATAAAAGCGTGTTATCTCAAATATGAACCATGTATTTGTAAAATTTGTTTAAAATATTCCGCTGATTAATGTATGAATGTTTTACATATGTAATATTACATTCATATATTTGATTTGCCCTTTCTACCATTTTTGCTAGTAACTGCAGATTAAAACTTTTTTTTAAAATCTATGTTTCCATATTTGAATGAAATTTCATATAAACTTTTCTTTAAACAAATTGTAATAAAAAGGTATTTGAAATGTAATGAGTTGGTATATAAGCACAGGAGTAATAGTGAAAGTTCATATTCTAATACTTATCTTATAGCAAGGCACAAATGATTTATACTTTAGTGTCTACCAATGTCGACAAGAGCTCAAGGTTTAGTAACCCTGTCATTATAGACTAAAATAATTATTTGTTATTTGTTTCAGTTTTGTGCTTCATCATTACAGTAAAAAAAAAAAAAAAAAAAAAAAAAAAAAAAAAAAAGAGTTAATAAAGTAAATGAAAAAGGGATAGCTAAAAGCTGAAATGGGTTAAAGCTTCCTTATTAAAGTAATTTATATCTTCTCTAGAAGTAACTATTTGATACTATCTGTTAAACGACTAAGAAATGCTTTTTTTCTCAAGCATTAATCTTTCAAGTAAAGGAGGCAGTTTGCTTAGAAGCTTCAGAATCTATACCACGCAATTAGAAACAGATTAGAGCACTTCGAAGTGAATCATAAATACAGCTTCATATATGGAAAAATTTGCCAATGACCCAGATTTAGCATCCTTGTTTTTTAGTTTAACAAAGGTGCCTTACTTGGCATATTATCACATTTTTTGCTCCTAAGCGTCATAAAAGTCATTTGATGCCCAGTTGCTGAACAAGTACCCAAGTTTGGATAAATAATTTCAGCAAAAAGATAAATATAGTCAACTTTTATTTATAGATTTATGGCTTTTCATGTGCATATATCATATGCCTTCTAATACATGAAATTCAAATTATGCTGAATAGAAAATTTTGAATAAGTTTGTCTACAGAATTTTAAGACTGAATTCATAGAAAGATAAAATTAAAGGAAAACATCTTTCTCCCTCTTTAGTTACCTTCATACATTCTTTCTGATGCTATACAATAGATCTTACAGATTGTGTTGTAGCAATCAGTGGAATCCTTTTTCATTTACTTACATTTTACTTTGGTACGGTAGAGGCTAACTTTGACCATTACTGGAAGGATTAAAACTGCTCATACATTGATTTGCAATGAGCTGTTTGCAGCAATTGCATTGTGCCACAGAAACTTTCTTGATCCTCATTGTTTAATCATTGAATCCATAATGACATATTGGTCGCATTAAAAAAAAAATAAGAATTCCACTCAAACTTTTTTTGTGAGAGAGTGATATTCTAGTGGAATCAAGTTGAGATGCATCCGTAGCCATTACCACTAATTGTTGTTTGGTAGCTTATCTGTTATTAATGGAAAAACTCAGTCCTAAAATTGTGTAGGCGTGCTATGCAGGTAAATAGAGACCTATATATTGAGGAATAGCAAACTCTTAATGAAACTATAAAAATTTATAAATTTCTGTATATTTGGGTACATTTTTTAACTATGGATATTTTTTACTTTATTTTGTGAAATTTTAGTTGAGTAAATGATACTAATATTGTGTACATCGTAAGAATGATTCTAATATTGTGTACACCATATTTCTGATCTTATTTTTGAATATCATTTGTAAAAACTATACTATATCATTTTTATTTAAAGTTATTATATAAAACTGAATATATTCTTTATCAGTTCTCATTTTCTTTTTCTTATATAATTAATATCATTGCACTTCTTTTTATTCCATGAGCATTATTTTTTTTTTTCCCTCTTAAGCCAGCATTTATTTTGAGTGAATTACAGGCATTCCTCATATTTTCAGCATCATAGGGAACATAGAGATCAATGAAATGAGAGCTCATTTTATGCTGAGAAATGAATTTTATAACTGAAGAGCATAAATTAAAATGATAAACCCTTGCAAATCAATACAAGAAACAGTAGCTTTTGTATGAAGAGCTCCCACTAACCTGAAAAGTCTGAGAAATGAAATGCAGTCAGGGAAAATCAGTGGAAGTATGAAATTTGTTTTTGAAAAAAATCAAAATACTGGATCTTTTCCCCAAAAGTCAAGGAACTTGAAAAATATGTTCAAGTCAATCCTTTCAAATAGTACAATGATTATGTTTTGAAGTGTTATTTATGAACAGAAATTAACCTGTCTTATAAAGAAAGCAAGTGAAGAATTACTGTAATCCCCATTTTTCATGTGCAACATAATTTGCTCATATTTGGCACAGTTTTATCGATCTTTAGCTTTCCTTTTCAACTGATAGTGAGCTGTTTTCCATTCTTTTCAGAAATGTAACTATTTTGCCGCTTTCTCTTTACAAGTTGAAATGCACTTTCTAGTGTAGCTCTTAACTTATCAGTTTTAATTTCAGGTACAATTGGAATAATGCTTATTATGAATGATATATTATTGTTATAAATTTCTTTTGAAAAATGAAATTATTTTTCCAAATTTGATATTTCTGTAGAAAAGATACTCCCTGCTCTTTTGAATGCTTTAACATAGTCAATTGATCTTACTTAATTTGACAGTTAAATCATTATGTTTGGTTAGAGAATTGGTTCTGTTTGGTCTAAGAAAATCAGTACATGCCTGGAAAACTAATAGCTTGATTTCAGTAGAAACATGTATATGCTTTAAACTGTTTATTGCTTAAATCGTTGGCCTGTTGATTGATAATGAAATTATTAATAGGAATTTTTAAATAAATAAAAACAGTATAATCTAGAGAAGATAAAGTCATCTATCTTATATAATTGAGGCTGTTTACTTATTTTCCCAAAGAACAGAGTAAAAATATTAGAATTTGATTATTTGATTAATGGCAAAGTACTCAAAGACCATATGTCTTCTGTAGACGATTTTCTGAGGAAACTTTACCATATGCATGAGGAAAAAGATGAAAATCTCATAGAGCCAATATGCTTACTACTGGTAGTAGAATTCAGAGCAAATTACCGATGTTTTATTGCTTTAATTACTTGCCATTTATTGGCTAAAAAATAATCTTGATATAAATAATGATAAATGCCAAAAGAACAGATGTGTCAAAAATTGGGGAATGCCTGCATTATTGTTCTTAAGATATACACATGAATCATAGGAATTTGTTTTCAAGTTTCAATTTGTTCATCATCATTTAAAACATATGTGTTCAATTAATATTTAATTATGCATGCTGAACTGAGAATTTTTTCATGCACCTAAAAAAGAATTGAATTTTTATGTCAATTCTTTTTTAGCATTAAACAAATATATATAAATGAATAAATATTTCAATTATATTTAAAGTAATTTAATAATGAATTTATAAGTTTTTATTTTGTCTTTGTTTATTTTTTATTTTATTTATCACCTATATATTTAACTTCATTGTTAAAATAGCCATGTAATTAAAACTTTAAACTGTACCAATTTTATGCACTTCTGGTAAGCTCAATGTTTAACTACTTGTTCCATTATGTACCCTCTCATTTAATATCATGTGATTCAAGAAAAATTCTTCATTCTGGTTCTCTGCTATTCTGATTTTAATCCCTTTTAATCTCCTTGTATGCAATTTAATTTAAAAGAACTTGAGCTTTCTATTGAAATAATCATATGGGAAATATTTTTAAAAGTTACAGCATATTATTGTTTTTAAAATTCTTAAAATTACAGCATAATTAATTGCCTTATGTTAATATGCATATTTCTTTAGCATACACTCATTCTTGCAAAAGTGACTAATAGCTGCTGTGCTTTGAATTGGGAATTTAATTTTAACAGTTTCATTATAACCTTATTGTTCTTTGTTTTTTTCAGAAAACTTCTTTGTTCTTTGTTTTTTTCTGTCATTTTCAGAAAGCTATTATTTATCTAATATGCCTTTCTTATTCATGAAATTTTATTTTAAGGCTATCATAGAGGAAAACCACAAGGTATGTAAAGAAAATGCTGCCAAACTTACATCATGGATGAAAGATATTGAGTTCAAATTAGCCGATTTAGGTGTTGTACGAGAGCAGCTTCCAGGCTTGCAGCATCAAATAACTGTTGTTAAGGTGTGTCATCTTATCTATTCACTTTTTCAAGAGTATTAAATACTTTTAAAATACAGTGCTTCTGAAAACTTTTTTGGAAGGAACCATTTTATAGAAAGATAGAATTATAGATAAAATATATACAATTTTAATGTGTATTTTGTCTAAGGGATTCTTGGAGCTTTTTTTGTAAACTTTATATCAATGCAGTAAGCTGTATGGAATGCTCGGAAAATAAATGCCGGATGCTCGAAAATGCCAGGTTGTTGAACATATGAAAAATGAAATTCACAGTAGAAAGCCAAAATAAGTGGAAGAAGAAATTTCCAATTTAAAATTATAAAGAGTCATTTTATTTGTTGTCAACCTGAATATAAAAAACGTACATTTAAATTATGTGAGATATCGAAAAAAGTGCATAAAAATCGACGTATTCATATAAAAAGGAAACCTTTTATCTAGTTATGAAACTTCTTCGACCGTGAAAATTGGCAGAGATTTCGCTAAACTTGCTTTAATCCTTCTGTCAGAAGTTTGAAGGAATGGCTAGCTCTTTATTTAGTTAGATAATCAGCACATATAAATTACAGATATAATGTATAATTAACTTAAATTGCTTGTCATAAATTTTCATGTTGCCTAGCCTGTGTTCATCCTTTTTTAGTAAAATCATATGCCTTAGACACTTACGTACACTTTACTTGATGTCATGTTCCCCTAATTTCGATGTTTTAATTGATTATTGCAAAACACAGTAGAGCTATCACCCTAAGGGAAAGGATTCTTTTGTGAAGATTTTCTAAGGAAAACTAGCTCTTATACACATTACACCTGGATAAAACCACGAAAGCTCCCATGCAGCCAGCCCATCTGCTTGTAATGGAGCCCAAATCGGAACTAAAAGTGCTCAACAATTTTACCGCTCAGCTACGGGTGTGTCTCCATAATTTTCAAAATACTGAAGGCAGGTCCCTAACTTTAATCTTTTTTTCTCCCCAAATGCAATGGAAAAACAGATAAATAGCAGTTAATTTATATCATTATTTACAAAACTTCTGCCGGTTTATTGAGAATTAACGAGTTTACATAAAATCAGGGTGAAGAACTTATTATGCTCAGAGCTTAGGTTACGGCGGAGCACACCGGAGCCCTGCTCCAGTACTTCTTAGTTTAAGGGATAAAACATAATTCTGGCCGGAGCGCACCGGAGCCTTAAATATGAAACCTCCGACACTTCTTTTGTGTAACTGAATACAGTTTCAGTCGAAATTTGATCTCGAAAAAAATTTTTTAGGAATAAAATTATATTAAAAATCAATTATTAAATTTTAATTTATTTCCTTACATTTTATTAAATTTTAATTATTTAATTACTTTAATAATTAATTATTTTAATGCTTAATTATTAAATTTTTTAATTATTAATGATTTTATTTATTTATTTTTGTTTCTCTTTCCTGATGGTCTTCCGTAAGGCTCCGGCACTTCTAATTGTAGAAATTAAGCCCTGATTATGCTGGCATGCCATGCTTATCCTTAATTGGTGCTGAATCGCACTATCTGATGATAGATTTACTTTTTTTTTTTTTTTTTTTTTGTTTGTGTGTGTGTGTGTGGTAATGACCTGTAAGTGCTTTATGATGGCTTTAGAAATCTCATATTTGCTTAATTTTTCTTTTTAAAAAATCAGTAAAAGTTTCTAAACTTCGAAAATGATCTGGTTAGTTGAATGCTGGAGGATTGGCTTTTTACAGCTCTAACTCTGTTATTTCATATTCTCAAAAACAGAAAGTTTTACGTCTCTTTACAAATTATGCATGTATTGAACATTTTCTTATTTTAATATATTCCCGTTATGATTTAGATTGCAACTATGAAAATTAATCTGAAATCCCTGGAATTTTTAAAGCAAGGTTATGTGTTGAAAAGAATTATGATTTTTGATAGAAACTGTAATAAATAATTAAATTTTTTGACTTGTATTGCATAAAGTTTTAATATTATTCTTGTCTTAAAGATTTTTACTATGTAATATATCTGATGAACCTGCCAATTTTAGCTTAAATTGCTTTTCCTCCTAATTTCTTTCTTAATTTTACGAATGGTAACTTTTAATTTTTTCCCTTAGATATTGAAAGAAGAATTGGAAAATCAACAACATTTGGTTACTGGTTGTTTAGACGAAATGAGACAGTTAGCACAACGAGGTATTGAAGTATTAAATAAAGAGGAAATAACCTTACTCCAAGGAAACTTAATTTCACTTAAGAAACGTTATGATTCCATTTTAAATGAATGTGATAGACTTTTACGACGTTTGACTTCAGCATTTGAAGAATTGCAGAAATATAAGGTATGTATATTTTATCACTAGGTTGGGAAATCCGTAATGTTGTTATAATTTCATATTGTAAGCTCGTTTCACAAGGCAATGCAATTTGCTTTGTTTTTCAAGAGCATTTATTACTCTAAATTAAATTTGCATTATATTCCTAGATAACATTTTGATAATGCTTGCATATATTTGTACACTGGCAATATTGCCAAATCTTTGTTTAGAATGTGAAATTCGGTGTCAGTATTATAAAATTGAATTAATTTTGATTAATTAAAGCATTTTTATAAATTTTCTTAATTTTTCTCCTTTTCCTGGGGGCCCCTGTACAGTCTAGAATCTGTGCATCAGCTGCATCTCTACTGTGTCCAGCTCTATCATATCATCATTTATATGCTACAGTTTCTCCTTAGGATACTTGAGAAATTCCTACTAAAGAAATTTTATAACATTAATTTTCTTCTGGAAAAAAAATATATTAATGTGCATCTTCACTCTTTTTATATTTTCAGATTTGTTTTTGAAGTACAATATGTTCATCTACATTAACTCCTTCAAATCCAATCCGCCCAACACGGCCCTACATTCAAACTACCAGAACCGCCCGAAAACGGCCGAGATTGTAATCTTCTTTTCTTCCCTCCCTCTAAGGTATGCACTAGCAGGTGCACTTTCCCCAAATGCATTGTATCAGTTTACTGCAGACAGCTTGTCCTAAGAGGTTTTTTTATCTTTTGTTTGATCGTGGCATTTCGTTGTTGATTCTTTTGTAGTACAGTGTGCTTTTAAGCTTTAAACAGCAATAAAAGAGCAGTTTAAAAATTTAAGGATTATATTTATTTTTAAACAATTTATTCCTTCCTATAAAAATAACGGAAATAAACAAAATCTCAGTCGTGATCATAACAAAGCCGGAAAGGCTTGTTGATCTGACCTTCAGAATAGTTTTATAAAGAAAGGGGTCAAAAGCTAATAGAATCTTTGTTAGAAAGTACAAAGACACCTATTTTCTGCGTTAATGGATGGGGAGGGGAGGAAATTGCTGTGAAACTGGAAAAGTATTTCAGGCGGTTTGGGTATTTTGAGGATACAGCTTAGCGAAGGGTCTGGATTTCAAAGAGTTAAAACAACGCTTGTATTTTTTCCATATGAAGAAACTTTCGGTATGTTCGGAAACTTTCGGAAACCTCTTCAATGTGCAATGATTTTTAATATGTGAAATATCATTGCTGATATTCAGCATTCTGTATTTCTTATCTCTCTTTCTTTTCTAAGTTATAACCTTCATTAATCAAAATATGAACTTTAAGCTTTGAAATTAATTTTAAATAATTAAAAATTTAGTAATAATATAAATTCAATAATTTTAAATTAAAAATAATAGGTATTGCTTGTCTCGGTGCTTCAATTAATAATGTGTACTATTGCACATTTTACTAATTATGCTGAAAATAAAGAAAATCTTGAAATGTTCTTAATTGCTGTTTCATATTAAAAAGATCATCACCATTATCTTGTATATTACATGTGTAATATACACACACACATATATATAACATGTAAGCAACATCATATATATGCTAAGCTTTTGTGTTTTTCAATATTACATAGAAAACTTTTGATAAATCATGGGCTCTTAAATGCATTAAGAATTCACTTATAAGTAAAAATATATCATCATCGATTAGAGCAGTTACATTCTGAGGCATTTTTAATAGTATTTATATCAAGTTTGGGACACTAGAATTAATTTGTTGATATCAAATTTACATTTCAGTGCTGAGATGCAGTCAAAACACCTAGTGATGTAGATAAAAATTTCATTTTGTATAATCATCATTACTGCTTTATTTTTTCGCATTTAATATCCTTCTTCAAGCTTTCCTCTTTTCACATATAGAAGCAGAACTTCTTACAAGTTATTTCACAGTTTTTTAACTTACGTTTATTTGATTGCTGTTTATCACTGTTCTTTTATTTTGTATGTGCATGTGTGCCGTTCCTGTACAGTAATTAGTTTTAGAGATTGCAAAAAAAATAGAGTAGTTTCAAAAATTAAATATTTCCATGCCATTATGCATGTGTTTCTTGTATTTCTAGTCTGAACTGGATGCACTAAAAGAATGGCTGAATAATGCTCAACTGGAGAGTAAGAGGAAAGAAGAAGCTTTGAGTTCCCTGACTGAACTTGAAAAGAATTCTGAGGCTTTCAGAGTATGTACTTTATAGTAAACAGTATGGATTTAAAAGAGAATGAATTAATGTTATTCAGTAAGCTACAAAATTATTGAAGGTAGTTTAATACTTTTACATTATTTCCTTCATTCGGTTACAGATGCAGTAGTTAAGTATACTTACTGTAATTTGAATAACAAAAATATCAGATTAGGTTTATGTTAATTATTAATAATATTTAAGCTCACAAGGGCTATCTGTGTTATGTAGAGAAATTATCTGATAGCGTTGTAAAAACTATGTGAATGATTTTATGATTTATGGAAATTTAAATTTTATTTAGATTCTGAATTTTTAATTTAAGGCTTTAATTTTGGGAGAAACAGATGCTTCGGGAAATATTATTTAGTATAAATGAATATATTTATTTTCTTTTATTGCAAATCTTGTACAAACTTTTATTGTGAAAGAAGCAGGGAAAGGGAGGCAATTTTCGCCAGTCATGATTTCGTGCGCTTTAGAATGTTCGAGAAAGAATTTTCATTTTAGTTTTTGACCCTTAAGAGAGGAAAGTACGTGACGGAAAGGTCAAAGGTTGCTACTTGTCTTTCAATGTAAGTCATTCATTTTTTTGGCGATTGAGGGTCCTTTGTTGGCTAAGTGAAGAAGGCGCGCATGCGCGATCACCCTTTTTTTTTCCGCATTCTGGAGTTGAAAACGAAGATTTTGCCATAATTAGGGGGCGATAGTGAAGCCATAGTGGGGAGCCCTTTGGTGAAGGAGAAGAGGAAATTTGAGTTGGACACTCTTTACTTTGGCTGACTCTCGACTGACTCGCTGATTTTTGGGCTTGCTGGACAAAATGTAAGTGACTCCGAGAGGTGTTTTCCGGCGGGAGCGGCAATATGCTCCCCGGCCGCGTTTTGGTTAAGAGGCGAGACTCTCTTTACACTCTTACTTTTGGACTCGCGCACTTACTGGTTGGCTGGACTTGTGGATGTTACTCTGGAACTTACTTGGGACGTTACCCGTGAAGCTTGCTCTTGGGATGAGTAAGAACAGGCGAGCCGTAATTTCCTAGCAACAACGTTTCTGACCGGCGGCGAAATTTTGAACGAGTTACCTGCGTGTTGACATAGGACTTTTCAGGACCAAGCGGATAGCCGTCCTGGGCACAGTCAGTACTCCTGTTTCTGTTCTACAGTAGTGAAGTGGGTCTACATTTTTAGAACCAGTGTCAAGATTAGCCCGGCCCTATATCAACGCGGGATAAGATAAGAGTCCTCCGCTTCAAGATAAGTTTTATTTTTTTTTGGTGTGTGTTGAACTTTAGGCAAGCTTTTCAAAACGTCCTTAGCAGTAAAAAAAAAACGTCAAATCTAAAATTTAACTCTCAGGCCTTAAATTGTTTCCCTTTCCTTTCTTTTAAAAATCACCAGACAAACCTTAAGTTTTTTTTATGAATTTAAATGAACAGACTCTCAGATGAGGTTAAGATTTTTTCTTATTGTGTTGTAATTGAATAAACTGGATATTTAATCTGGAACCTCTTACAGTATGTTTTCTTTATATATTTAATGAACTTTTTCCTTTAGATCTTGTATATGTTTTATATGTTTTCGATCCTCTCACGGCGCGGTCCCGGAATGCATTTTTTTCACAACGCAAAAAATGCTGTACACGTTTCATTCACTATACGATTACTGCCTTTAACGGCAAGTAGTTTTCATATTTAACATTTAACAATATAGGAATTTTTCAGATATAACTGGTACCTAGAAGTAAACTATTTAACCTTGGTGGTGAAACTTTCTTCTATATAACATTGGTGCCGTGAAGTAAGATTCATAACATTATTTCCCGGCGTGAACTTAAGCAATTTAACATTTGCCTAAGAGGAGGAATGCTTTTATGAAGGACTTTCTAAGGGAAACTGACTTGTATATATATATGTTACACATGGGGAAAAACAAGAGAACACCCATGCAGCCAGCCCTTTCGCTGAGATTCCAAACTCAGTCAAACTACCAATGTTCAGTGACTTTACCGCTCGGCTGCTGGTGGGCAAAAAATATTAGAAACAGCTATGCTTTGGAAATGTCTAATAGCATTTTCAAACCTATCGAAATATTTACAAACATTTTTCAAGCTGCAAATTTGTAAACAATCTGGGCCGTCCTAATGTACAATACAATCAACAAGAGAACATGGTCTTACTGCCTTTAAGTCTGGGCACAGTATCATATATATAAGCCATTGTTTGTCTGGAACCAAAGAACTGTAAGGTTCTCTGAGACAAGTTTCCCTACCATCATGCAAGCATAAACATGCCAATCCCAGAAATCAAAAGCGCAGCCACTATTTTTTCTTGATGGCCAGTATTCTTACTGAGTAGGTGGGTTAGTGAAGGCTGATAGTTGAAAGTAGTCAGTACATAAACATTCTTAGTACTGGAGCTCTAAGATGGAATGTCTGTAAGTTGACAGTTGAGCATGCTATGCAAATCCTGAGCTATATAAATGTCTTATTTTTATGGCATTGTTGACTGTGCAGTATTAATTATTAATTTTTATTTGGTGTGAGGGACAGCAGACTATGATCTATAGAGAGAGTTCCATTAACCGCTTAATGACTGAATTTATATTAGAAATTATACCGAAAATCCCAGAATTGTTTTATAACACTTTTATTATCTACAGATATAGCTCACTAGATGTAGCTTTGTAAGGTGCGAGAAAAAAGCAATTTTTTCGAGGGGAAAAAACAGGATATTTATTATGGTTTATGACATTACCTGAGTAAACTTGGGCTTCAATGAAGCAGCCTGCCCCCCCCAAAAAAAACACAATGTTGTCAAAAATAATACAAAACTGTAGTCAAGGTAATAAGAGCTAAAGTAAAAATTAAGTAAATACATTTTATGATCAATAAATGTCATTGACAGTATGATACAGTCTGAAACATGGTGTAACATGTAATGGCACATCACAGTTTGCAACAGCAAGATAATCTGGTAATCTGCATCGGCTAACAAACAAACTGAATTTATAGTTCATTTTTAATGCATCCACATTGCCGACTGCGACTCAGGGTCATGGAAGAACCAATCACAAAAGCTGCTTGGACCTTTCCCACAGCTAAGAAAACATTTGCACGGCAGAGTGTCAATGAACCAAACACAAAAGCCGCGTGGTCCCCTCCCACAGCTAAAAAAGTGTGTGCATGGTAGAGTGTCAATTACCACACGATATTACGGGTGATGGCATTAAATATCCATAAAGTTTTCAGTGCTCAAGTTAACTCATTCATAGGAAAATCAAAACTGCATCTATTCCTGAGATAACTCGGGCACTGTCGTTAAGCGGTTAAGGTGTGGTCAAATGAATCTCCCTTTCTGTTGCACTAAAATATGGGTGGGCTTAGTTCAGTGCCAGCAGTATGAGATCATGGATTCACTTAGGCAAATTGATTTTGTTAGTGTTTGCTGTAGTGTCAGCAGTTTTCTCTTTGAATGCATTAAGTCCCATAGTGTGTTTCGGGAGGCCCTAAAATGTTTTGTGTTGGCAGAATGAGCTTTTTGATTGCCTTTAATGTTTTGCTGATCCCTAGGTGAATCCTCAAAGAATGGACTATTTGAAGAAAACACTGCACACTCATTCAGTGAATGTTTTATTGATATGAATCCGTACCTGTTTTTGCAAAACTAGTAATCTTTTAATTAAAAATGTGTAGGGTTCCTCACTTTGTAAATGCTATGTGACTGTTGACATGAAGAATCCTAAGAACTAGTTAGCAAATAATCACTTGAGTTCATGTACAGGAAACAATAAATATGAAGAGTTAACTATCCCTTTATTATTTCAACTAATATTTAACAAACTTTGTCTTGGAGAAATAAAGTCGCCACTTGGGCTTGAACTTAAGAGATAAAGAACTAAAACTAATCTAAACTAAAGAGATATAGCCGAAGCTATCAAGATTCTAACAGAGTTGGCCCCTTAACTTTTAATATCCTGCAAAGCTGTTAAGGCCTAAAGTACGGCCGGGCGAAATAATAGCTTAAGAGAGAGTAGCCTAAAAACGCGCTATCTAGAAATCTGGTATCTCTCTCTTCCAGACTGAAGACCTTAGCAGTTTAAATACCGCTCCTCTTCATTAAGTGTTCAGACGTGATTCCAAAACTACGTTCTGGACAGAAGTAGTAAGTTGAAGTCAAGAATTTGACAGGAAAGGAGTTTAACTTAAAATTTTAACTGTTAATAAAATTAACATAATCCTTACAAATGTACTAATTCTGGAAAAATTCTTTGATGGTTATATTCAAAATCTCATATATTCAAGGAACTTTATCCATCATTGCCAATAATGCTTGATTTTCTTTCAGAAATAGATTTAAATTATTATTTTAAATAATTAACTATAATAAGTGAATTTAAAATCTGAACCTTTTCAGGTTCATATCTGTTGCTTGTTAAACTGCAAGTAAATAAAACAATTTTTTTTAAACAAAAGTGGTCCTCCCTAATCAACTAGAAATGTCCTACAAGTTGAAATTCTTTTTGTATTTGAGCCCAGCTTTCAGTATTCTATAGACATGCATTTTAATTATTAAATAGTTTCTTTGTTTTAATTATTCATATCCTAAGTGACATTCTGTACTTATGAACAGTGACATGACTGTAAACTTAAACGTTTCTTGCTGAATTATTCTGAGGTGCTGTATGTTCATATGCTTGCAGTTTTCTTTAAATTAAACCAAATGATCATCATTATTTCATAGGTCCTATTCCAGCCATTTTTTTCCCTGGTTAAAATAAAAATTGAGGTTGCCAAGAAGCATGTAAAAATAATTCAGCTAAAGCTGAAAGCATTGTTCCAAGAACTACGAGGGCTATCCAGAAAGTAGATTACGTTTTGGAATAAAAAAATAAACAAAGTATAGGAAACAAATTTTATTATATACAGATGAAAGCCACACTCAAATACTACTTTTCTACATAGTCACCATACAAATTAAGGCATTTATCGTAGCGATGTACGAGCTTGGAAATTCCTTCGTCGAAAAATTCGGCCGCCTGCGCCTTCAACCACTTCGTTACCTCTTCTTGCAGCTGTGCGTCGTCATCAAAACGCTGCATAGCCAGCCACTTCTTCATTGCTGGGAATAGGTGGAAGTCGCTCGGTGCCAGGTCGGGACTGTACGGCGGATGAGGAAACAACTCCCACTTAAAAGATTCAAGAATTTTACGAGTGACATTTGCCGTGTGGGGCCGGGCGTTGTCGTGAATCAACAAGATCTTAGAGCTCAACATTCCTCTGCGCTTGTTTTGAATTGCTCTTCTGAGTTTTTGGAGAGTTTGGCAATACCTTTGAGAGTTTATTGTAGTGCCTCTTTCCAGGAAGTCCACCAAAATTACACCTTTTCTGTCCCAAAAAACCAGTTGCCATCATCTTCCTTGCCGACATTGTTTGCATGCATTTCTTGGGTTTTTGGGGAGAACTTGTGTGCCCCCACTGCATTGATTGCAATTTCGTTTCACAGTTCACATGTTTCACCCATGTTTCGTCACCAGTACCGAGTACGATGCGATCGTAAAGAGTCACCATCCTTATGGTAAGCGTCAAAAAAGTTCAACGCTGCAGCCATTCGCTGATTTTTGTGGTCCTCTGTCAAGATTTTTGGAATCCATCTTGCACAAAACTTGTGGTAACCAAGCTTTTCGCTGATTTCGTTTGCAAACAATTTCGCGAAATTTTGGAAGGAAACCGTTTTGTGAAAAAGTTCAATTTTCCTTTTTTCGGAAATTCGGCGTTTTCATCTGGTCGGGACTTTAGCTCGATTTCGTGGACCTTGGTTCGGCATTTGAAATCTTCACTGTTCCTTCGTGATAATGTCCCCATACACTTCACGAAGCTGCCGATAGATTTCTATCGGTTTAAAGTTTTTGCAGTCAGAAACTTATTACTGAGCGCACCTAGCTTTTGAAATCTTCATTACCCTGTACGTGAACACAGCACGAACCCTCATAGCAACGGCTAGATCAGCGAGCTGCGCAACGCTCTGACCACAAGATGGCAGACTGAGCTTAGCCCCGCCCCTAGCGGACCCAGACGGAAACGTAATCTACTTCCTGGATGGCCCTCGTATAAGTAAGAGAACTGCGTAATTTTTGTCTCCCCCCATAGATTCTTTTTGAAATTTGAACTTTTAAATTTTGTTTATGAAAAATTAGAAAATATTATATTTTATCAAGTTTTTATCAGAACATTTGCTTTATTTGACTATCTTCCCAATCGAAGTGAAGTTCATTAGCAGCTAAACTGTGAAGTCACCAAACACGGTAGTTTGACCCAGGTTAAATTCCAGGCAAGCAGATTGGCTGCATGAGTGTTTTTGTGGTTTTTCCTATGCGTTAACTAGGTTAATAGCCAGTTTGCCTTAGAATGTCCTCCATGAAGGCATCCGTCCCCTTAGGTAGATAGGCGTTGAGTGCTTTGCCATAACCAAATAAATTAAACGTAACCGCACATGAGGTCTTCAAATTAGCAAAAAAATTGTTAGGTGTTAACAAAAAAGGTTAACAACAAAAGGTCGTAAGGTGTTAACAAAAATATTTCTGTTCTGTTCATGGTTTTTTTATTCTGTTGTTTTTTATTCCTTGCAGTCTCATGTCACTGCAGAGGTCTATTATTTGAAAACCTGTGTAATTAAGAGAGGCTTCTCTCTTTTTGTTATTCCTAGAGCTGTTCAAGAAAACATTTTTAGTAATAGACAACAACCTCCCATAAAAAATCAAAATTGTTTTATCATTCAATGTGTGCTTTTCTTTGTTGTGAAAGTGATTGAGTTCTTTACAAATTCAGTTTCAATTTTTCTTTCATTCATAGCACTCTACATAAACTTTTAATTCTTTGTGAATGCATAACTTTCTCTTTCAGCGTAGTGAGTCCAAGGAAGAGATCTTTACATATTGCTTTAAAAAAGGCAGATTTTTATGTCAAGAAAACGAGCCATTGGTAGTTCTTTCAATCATTACCGGTCTTAACATTTATTTTTGTTACTGATAAAATTAACCACAAAATTTTTTTTAATTGGCGGATTAGATTTTTTAAAGCTTTGGAATCTCATAACTTTAATAAATGATTTTAATTCCGATACTACCCAACAAAAAGTGTTTCATTTTTTTTCTTTTAAATTATTCCTTTTCATCTTAATTTTGCTGTGTAGGATATACCATATTTTTTTAAGCAAAAGTATTAACAGAATGATACAGAATGTTGTTGCTTTTAAAAGAAGGCGGATCCACAGCCGATTCTGTAGAAGTATAAAGAACATTTCCCTATTTTAAGATTAAAGTAAATCTAGTTCTGAAATTCAAGTTTTCTTACTTGTGTTGTATATCTTATATTTAGCGATTCCTGTTGAATGTTGTAAATGGTATTTATATTTAACAAAATTTCTAAAATATGTTTTGCATTATGAAGTTAATAACAGGTTTTTGTTTTCTGAAAGCTCTTGCTATGTAGAATGTTATGCATTTTCTACAAAGCATTCATTTAATTTTAATTTGAGGTAATACTAACTGTTATTCCAACATAACTGTGTAATATTACAATTAATTAATACTGTCTTAAGTAAAATATTGAATCATGATAGCTGTTTTTCATATGGAAATGACCAAATTGAAGTAAAAATTTCTAAAGGTATTTTTCACATTTTGTTGGATAAACTATTTAAATTTTAGTTAATAACCAACGTTTAAAATGTTATGATCATTCTACTTGTCTATTAATAAGTTTATATTTCAGTTATTTTCCAGTGATGTTATTGCTCATCAAGCTGACCTTCGATTTATAACAATGGCTGCACAAAAGTTCATTGATGAATCACAGGTAAACTTAATTTATATTTTTCAAAACTGATAAGAATATCCAGTTTCATTCTGAGTAATTTTTGCTATTCTAGTTCTCTTATTGGAAATTTTTTGTATGTACTTGAACAAAAGGCAGATTTCTTATGTTAGCTATCTATTTTTGATGCAGCATGTTCTAGGACCTTACTCTGAATCCTAATCGACCATAACTGTTAGGTTTTTAAGTTTTTATTCAACCATTAAATCTTTTGGTAGGACCTCATTCTTTAATAAAAAAATGCATTTATGGCATTAAAAAATGCATGCCATTAACTTCCATAAGTGGTAGTGTAAATGAAATGTTTGATGAAATAACCTATGTATAACCTGTGTATGTGTACAGTGAGGAAACATATAGTTTTATAGCAAATTTTGAATCACATTCTATGTAGAAATTTCAGTAAAATGAGAGTTTAAAATTAATTTACACTGAATCTCCCTTTTGAAAAACTGTATTGATATTACATTTCCTGTGGAAATTCTTCTACAGGATGCACCCATAAAGTAACAAGACAGTTTCTTAAAAATAAGAAAAAATTACTAACCTTCAAAGAACTTTATCGTGTTCAAAATAATTGCCAGAGGTGTCTGTTCAGTTCCCCCCCCCTCAGCATTTCTTCAGGTCATCAAAATAGTGTTTATAGGTGTTGGAGAATTCGTAAAATACATGTAACATTTGTTTTAATATCTGAGACATTTTCAAATCTCTGTTCTTTCATGGCCATGTTAAGCTTTGGAAAAAGGAAAAAATCAGCTGCCTATAAGTCGGAAGACTATGGTGGGTGATTTGTAACTGCAATTTAATACTTAGCAAGATACTGCTGAACAGACAAAGCTGTATGGAGTGTAGTATTTTCATGTAAAAGAATTGTCCAGAATCAAAAGGTTCCTTTCTAACACACAGTATTCTATTTCTTAATTGAAAAAGCACCTGCTTGTAAAAATACATATTAATTCATTAATTTTCTGGGACAAATTCAGGATGGATAAGTGCTTTGCATATAAAAAATGCAATCAGCATCACTTTAGACTTTGAGTTTGACATCCATGCCTTTGGTGAAGACTGTCCTTTCTATTGTACAGGCTTGTCTTTTTGTTTCTGGGTCATACTGTCACTGGATCTGTCTACAACTTGAGCGAACAATATTGACTCAAAAGAACCGGTATGGTCAGCCATCACAACTTATCAGAGAAAGCCATTCTGTGGTCCTCAGTTGGAGGGCAGGTGGGTCCATTTAACTTTACTGGAAGGAAACAAGGCTTCAAGGAGCTTTAGACCAATCGCAGTACAGACGAGTGACGAAATTTATAGCGCGCGCTGGCTGAAGTTCTAAGAATATTCCCCCATTATTTCACTAACTCACACGCTGCATTTGTAGTTCGAAAAAAAAATTGCACAAAACAGTATTATGACCAACACGCAGTAGAATATGCTGCTGTGTTATGTGAAAGAAAATCTCGTTTTTTAATGGGAAAGTTAACGCAGGAATTTAGAGGTAAGAAATAAAGAGTGATATGGGATACCATGAAAGCAATGGTAAATAGATAAGAGTAAATGAATTAAGCTTACTTCAAATCCTTTTAGAAATAAACAATTTAATTATTTAAATTTATAATATGATTAATTTGCATTACAATCTAATAGCAAACTAAGTTTTTTTTTTTTTTTTTCTTTTTTTCCCATGTTTACATTAAAACTGTTTTCCCGCAATTTATTTTACAGTTACTATTCGAAAATATTTCTTTAAATAAGAAATTAGAAAGAAAATATTTTTCTTAATATTTCTTCCCTTTTTTATTTTCTTTTTCTATGAAAATTATTTCTTTCAGGAAAAGAAATAAAATTCATTCGCTATTACAGTATGGCCGATTGCTGCTGCATTCAATTATCACACACGCATCAAAATGCTTTATTTTAAATAATTTATTCTATAATTAACATGAAAGAAAATATTTTTTCAATATAAAATATATAACCAAAATTAAACTAATCTATCCTGTATGTGTGATTAATTCGTTTTGCAATTTTTGTCACACAATTACTAATACCTTTTTTTCAATATTACATTGCTGTTATTTTAATTTTGTATATAAGAACTGCTCAGTTTAAATATTCTTCCTTCTCAAAAGATTTTGTTCTTTGAAAATAATTAAAAGATAGTAATATTTTCACAATGGAAGTACTAAAGTAAAAATAATCAGTGTAGGTCTCCTGCAGTTCAAGTCCTTATCAAACCAGCGTTTCGACACATTTTAAATAGAACTAATAATAATCAATATCTCTTTTACAAAAATGAGAATGCTATGAACAGTATTTTTATTTTTATTTATTTATTTCTTTAAGTTTGCAAAGGAACAATGATTTTTTAATACTATAATAGGTTACAAAAGTACTATTCCATGAACAAACCCTCAGTCTTATAGCATTGTTACTTTATAGCATAATACAATAATAATACAGTATAATTCTGCTAACAAGCCCACCAGCCGCTGAGCGGGTAGAGTTGCTGAACGCAGGTAGTTTGGTCCGAGATTCGAATCCCGCGAACGAGCTGGACGGCGTTTTCGTGGCTTTCCCCATGTGTAACGTGTATACGAGCCAGTTTCCCTTAGAAAGTCCTCACTTAGAAACCAGTTTTAAAACGTAATAAAATTACACACACACATACACACACACACACACACACACACAAAAAAAAAAAAAAAAAAAAAAAAAAGCTTTCAGATTTTATATTACTCCCAAAGGGCCATTTTTTTAACGTTTTGCGTGTTACCTTTATTTATTAAATATCATGTTTTTCGCACTTAAACCATAAAATTCAATTCAACAGCAATATCATATAATTTTAAAAAAGCATATTTTTAGAATTTCTGATACATAGTCTCGCGCGCTAGAGATGAAAGTGTTTTTTGCCATTGCTCGCTTTGAAATCGTTGGGTTTCTTAATCAAAAACTCATAAATGCTTTACAAAATATGATATATGAAATGGATAGTAATACAAATTCCCAGTTCCAAATTTGGGCCTTCAGATGCCTATATTAGGATGGAGGATTACGTTATTCAGAATTTCATGGCTCTAGGTACCGTTGTTTTATCACAGTGCGAGAAACATTCATACATTCTGCAGATTCCTCATTATTTAATTTCTTTAAATATAATAGAGTGCGATAATACTTGGTGGCAACGATTTGAAAAGTGAAACGCTATTTATCGTGAAACGCCACAAAATGGCAAAACGAAATTAATAGCCCCTCTGGGCTAAAACTTATTTTTAAAAGTATCACACTAGTAGTAGTACAACTACTGAAAAAATATTATAAATCTATTTTATAGTTTTATAATTATTATTATTTTAAATTTTTATTTTAGTGTGAATTTCACGTAATAATGAACGACATTTTTTGTGTTCACAGTATTATTCGTAAGGTATTCAACTGTTAGATTTTAAAGTAAACGTAATTCTTGCTGTACATAAATCAAGTAGAAGCTTATCGGATGTCTATATTTGTATTAAATGAAGAAGGTTTATGTGCTTAATAAACTTATTATCTTCTACATTTTTAAAGCGTACAATTACAATTTATATCTATAATTTCAGGAATAGTATAACCTTTCTTTCAGTAGAAATTGCGTTCTTGTTTTCTGAATGTGGCTCCAAATACTCTCTCAGTTCATCCCAAATTAAAATAACTGCCAAAATTTATATTTAGGCAATCTGAAATACGCAATGAAAACATCTTTTGGCAGAGCAAAAGCATCAACTTTTTTTCTATAAATTCGCCATCGATTCAGAGATCTACGACGGTATTCCATTTAAATATGAAAAAAATCAGCGGCGAAAACACATACAAAGCCATTGTCTACTTAGTACGTCAACTGGACAACCCTGATTGACGACGCAGCAACACTTTTTCACGCGCTTTCGACAACTTCCGTACTCAGAGAATATAGGATGTTGGGCAGACCTGTTTTTTACTAGTAGCGACATCTGGCGGCCCACAACTTGCTGTCGACTCTCGTAGCGTAGAATAACCGTCCAGGTCTGTGATACACTTTAAAATATTTTTGTCCTGTCTGCAAATCTTCACTGCAAGAAGAATAAGTAAGAACATCCAGGATCACCATCTTCACAGCACTATTTGAATCATTTCTAATGTTTTGGTAGTATACTTCCCTAGTTTGTAACATTATGCAGTAACATTATTAGTAATATTATAACATTGTTTCATGTCAAAGCAAATTTTGTTGTACAATGTCTTCTCAGTAAATTAAAATGGCTCCATTGTTTTGATATGCAAATGACAAAATAATCAGTTTAAACTAGCATTAACAAGAGTTGATATGTCAATTCTTTCGAAACATCATTTAATCTTTAACTTTTTTATTCTATTATTTGGGTTTTTAACTTGTCCTCTTATTTTATGGGTGCTCCTTGTATATATTATTTGCAGGATTCTTGCAAATTTTTATTTTCATATTTGTAATACTTTATGCTAAAATAAGAGCATTATAACATAATAAAAGCATTAACCACGTACTTTTACTTTGAATTTTGTTACAGGATTACTTAAAAGCTCTTAATGCTTTCCGAAAGAACTTGCCACAGTCTATGCCTACTATTAAAACTACTGAGAGTGAAGTAAAGTCAGAAGTTCAAGAAGTTACAGCAGTGTATCATAATCTCTTAAATCATGTCACCAGATTAACTGATAATTATTCTATAATTTGCAACAAATATCGTACTTATATTGAAGCTGTTCAGAAAACTGTTAATTGGTTAAATGAAGTCAGAAAGTCTTCTAAAAAGGCCCTTGAAGAGCCTGTTGCTGATGAGCCAAGTTTAGTGCAAGAGCAAATGGATAAAATAAAACTTATAAATATGGAAGTTGTTGGACAAGGAAGACTTGTTGAAAACATTTGCCAAGCTTTTAAAATTCTTATCGATACTTTAGAGACTTGCCATGTCATACCTAATGAAGCGAAAAGTATTGAACAAACTGTATCATCTATTCAAGAAGATTATATTCAGCTTGTAAATTGTATTGCTGAGCGAATCAAAGAACTACAAGCTGCTTTGATTCATTCTCAAGATATTCAAGGTGCACTTGACCGCATTTTGAAGTGGTTGGAAGAAACAGAAACAACTATGAAGATGCATAATAAACCCATTAGTTTGACAATTGAAAAACTAGATGAACAGGTAAATTTTATTTTTTCTCAATTATAAATTTTTTACATCGTTAATGTATACATGTGAGGTGCACTAAAACAAAGATAGAAAATTAGAAATGCATGGCTGTGTGCTAATGATTTTTTTTTCCTTCTGTTAGGTCCAAGAGTTCAAAATTTTAAAATCTGATATAGACAACCAAAAGCAAAGTTTAGATATGTTACTTTCCACTGCAAGTGAATTGACAAATAATGCAAATCCAAAATTAGTTCGAAAAGTGGATTCCAAAGTAAAAGAAATTTCTAAGCGTTTTGATAAACTATGTGAAAAAATAACTAAAAGAGGAAATTTATTAGAAGAGGTAAGTTATACATTGATGTGAATTTTCTTCATGATCCTCAGTTTTAATGTCATTGTTACTTTTTTCACTTTTAGCTGGTGTGGTATGATGCCAAGGAACTTCAACATCACATTTCACTTAATGGCATTTTTTATAAACTTAGAAAATATAATATCTGTCTTGAAACTTTCATCACTATGAGAAAAATTATAATTACTAATCTGTTTTCAACACTAATTGTGTATTTGAAAGCTATATACAAAAAGTATAGTTCTCTTTGTGATTTCTTTTCACCTGACCATACTAATTAAATGCATATTTTTCATCATACCAATTAAAGCTTAAATATTAATTTAAGTGCTGAATTTTCAATAATTTGATTAATTACTGTTCCTGAGTGTTTATTTAGTTCATCAATTGCATATGATATGCAGATTGCTTCGAGAATATGTTCCCTTATTATTTGTTATGCAGGAATACTGACTTTATGTACATGAGCATACTTATTAATGAACTAAATTATTACTGTTGCAGTTATTTTATTTTTATGCTATTATTTTAATCACTGACTATCTCTTATAGATATCAGATTCTGTTCGTATATTCCAAGCTATGGTAGTGCAATTTGAAGAGTGGAATAGTGCTACGCTTGATCGTATTGAAAGTACAGATAGTGTGCATCTTGTTGATGTTGATGGTTTTTCTTCAATCATTGAATACACTTTGAATCAGCGTAACTCGAAGAAAGATGATTTTGAACAAATGATCAAGATTGGCAAGAATCTTATATCCAAGAAAGATGTTTCAGATGTAACACTTCTAAAAGACAAAATTCAGACATTAGAACAACAGTGGAAGAATCTTGGAGAAATATTGAATGAAAAAAAGCAAATGGGAAAAAATCGAGCTGAACAATTGGCAGCCTATGAAGCTTTGCGTGTCAAAGTTTTAGACTGGCTCCTGAAAATTGAGAGAGATTTTGAAACTACTGAACCCATAGCTCTTGACCAAAGCACTTTGAAAAAACAAAGCTCAGAAATATTGGTATGTGTTTCCTCTTTTAAACACCTTCATTGAACTTTGTGTAATAAAATATGTTTGTTATTACTTCAATGAAGTTACTTACTTTGAAATTCCATTTGACTGTGTATAGTTCAAAAATGAGATTTTGAGATTAGATACTTTGTTAGATATTCATTATGTCGCAGTGCACTTGAGATAGATAAATGTGTTTATAATGAATTTTCTGCAAGAACTGTCTCGTATTAGTCACACTTAAAGTAATCCTTAAAAATGTATTGGAACCATATCCCCCTCCCTTGAAAATCAGATGCAAAAAGAAATGGAAGGTATTCTGTGATTTTTGCCAGGTGTCAAAGTTTTTAATGCCCAAAGGATAGTATTACTTTCAGGTAGTGAGTAATTTCCCACTAAAGGGTCAGTTTTAAAGCAAATATTTAAAATAAGTATAATATTAATACTGAATAAATGTAAAATAGGTTGCAAAAAAGCATGCAGAATCAATTTCAGCCCTTAACGTTTATTTATTCATCTTATGATGCTTTATTTTTAAAATGCTGAAGCTGTGAAAGCAAGCCAAAAACTGATTCTATTTACAAGCAGCAACTGAGGTCATAATGTAATAGGGTTTTATATTCAGTATATCTGGATTAATCATATAATTGGTGTTAAGTTGTTTTTATCCATTTTTGTATCCACTGTAGGAGAAGGAAGAATTTAAAATTAAGACTTTGTTGCTTTTCATTTTGGAAGTCATGATAATGATTAACAGTATGAAAATTGTTTGATGTTTTTTTGAAAAAAGATGTGGTTTAGAAAATCGTGTTAATTTTTTATGCGAGATAACATCTCCACAGCAAATGCAACATGTTGGAGCCCATCATTTGGCTGCAGTTTCTGTATAATCTGTATTTTACATGCATGCATCCTCAGTTTTCGATGCAGCACATCATAAATAGTTAATCGTGGCATATATAATTCAGAAGCTGCCTGTCTGATCGACGGATGAGGGCTCCAAATGAGAGCTTGTCGAAATCTTCCACATGTTAATCAGAATGTGAACGCTGATCACCTCCGGATCTTTGCCATATACTTCGCGTTTCGACAAACCTTTTATGCCACTTTTTATGCTCTTAGCCTGGGGTGGATTTTTTTTTTTATAAACTGTTTAAACATTCTCTGCACTTTCACTATGGATTTTTGTTTTGAATACCAGAGAATAATTTGTGCCTTCTCTTATGCTGCCATTTTTTCGTTTGTCAACTCAGCAAACTCTATGAATTTAGCTCCCACATGTGGCTAATATCGCCCTTGTAGCACTAAAACTGTGTTTTTAATCGACTGTTCAAAATAGGTACATTTGATTCGGACACCCTGTAATATGTATATATACACTATATTTAATACAGCAATGTCCTGGCATGCATAGAAGGAGGTAGCATTGCAGTGATATTTGTATAATGCTGCCTATCTCTTATTCATTTGCAGTTCAGTATGTAATTAAGCTACTTTTTAGGATTTGTTGTATTTTTATTGTAATATGTAGCATTATTGATGTCATGCATATTAAAATAGTAGCTTTTTTTGTGAACTTTAATATATTATATTTCGGAACTTTGTAAACTATCTGTAACAAGTTTTACAGCTACATCTAAAATGATCAAATATGAATAATATTACCCATGTAAGCCTTTTCCTGCTTCTTATGTTTTGAGTTAAAATTATATCAGGTAATGTGATGCTTGAATGTACAGATGAACTAATATATGAAAATTTGGAACTGCTTAAGCTGAAGCAGAGCATTTTAAACAAATACCTCCACATGACTGAAACTAGGCACATGAAGAATTAGGTGGCTGATATTTGGATTATTTATTTTAATTTTAAACATACGTTATAGGAAAATTAAGGCTGTAAATTTCTAGCTGAAATTCTTTTAATCCCACACGTTTCAAAAAGGGAAGAAACGCTGTTGAAAGCTACTGTTTGTTTAGTGAAATTGCTAATATATATTGTGGGTGGGTGTGATAAATTGAGGTTTTAAGGAACCCATGAATAAGTGATCAAAATAGGAATTTGCTGTTTAATTTTAAGTTGCACTTCTGTATTTATTTTTTTACTTTTCAATGTATTTTTGAATAATAATTAATTTATATGTATGTTATGCTAGCAAGGACACAATAACAGCACAAAATGATAAAAAGATTTTTAAAAAATCATTCAGTGTACTCCGTTTTTTCAGAACTGTGTGGATTTCAGATGGAAAGTATTCTAAAAAGGAGAAACACTTTTGGTTGGAAAATCTGTGAGGCTATATTGAAATTCACTAAGTTTTCTCTCTGATGAAATCTTTATTATGGAAATAAAAGAGAGTTTCTGGTTGGGAAACAATATTTCCCCTGGAAATAAAACTACCATCTGAGTTTTGAGTGCTAATATTTAATACTAATAAAAATTTTACTATTAAAATAATAAAGGTTTTTAATAGACTGATTAAATTATTTGATGCTTTTTGTGATATTTTGATTTTGTGTGTGGTGTACTGTTTCTTTTTCTTTCTATATATATACAGTACAAAGTCCTTAATCCAAACTCGTTGGGACTTCGGCGTTTCCGGATTATAGATCATCAGTTTAAATCTGGTAAGATGGCATGCAGAAATTATATAATTAAAAATATGAAACGGTAATTTATGAAATACAGAGCAATAATGATCTAAAGGGTATCAAAATTTACAAAAAAAAAAAAAAAAAAAAAAGCTTAATATTTATTTGTTTACTTTATTAAACATTTCATTCAATGTAAGTTGTTCAGGTTGCTTCGTTTTTTGTGCTAATACTTTCTCTTTAATTCTATAAACAGACATAATTTCTTGTTCAGTTACAAAGTTCCACTGTTCAAGTCCTTTAATTGCTCTGACCGACTAACTTGTCAATCGAAATTTTTTCGTTTTCAATAACCTCTCTGTCAATCGGAAGCGGTATTTTCTGGATCTAGAGCCATGCTACAGATTTCGCCGTCCGTTAATTGATTGATGATTGGGGCATTGTCATCGCAATGAAAAACTTCTGTTATATCATCTTCATTTATTACCGCTTCTCCATATTTCTTTACAAAATCCAATAACTGGAAACCTTTAGTTTGCAATTTCCACATTTCTTTACAAAATCTTTAGTTTTCTCCTTTAGTTTGCAATGTCCGAAAACATTCAAATTCATGGCTGTCATCTTTATCGTCCTAACCATGAAATATGTTAGTTAGCCATAAATTATGCCAAGCATTTTTTAACGTATCTGGAGACACATCCTCCCAATGCGCATGCGTAAAGCGTTAAAAAAAAGTTTGTGGCTTTGAGGTCCAGATTATAGATCATTCCGGATTATGGACTTTGTACTGTATACATATATCTGTAATGCAAAAGAAATTAAACAATACATATAAAATGCATCACGTATTTAATTTGGAATAAACCAAATGAAAAAAAAATGATAGTAATAACAGAAGCTGAGTGGCAAGCTGCTCTTTGTGTGGCCAAAAAAAAAAAACCTGTTTTTATTTTTTTTTATTATTTTTTTATTTTTTTTTTTTTACTACCTTGTGTGAAGTAAAGGAAGTATTGTAGTTACAAAACATTTTAGGTATCATATTTCAATGGAAATATCCATTTTGATCATTTCCTGGATCCATTTTGATGATTTTTTTTGCATGATATCTGTATGCATGCACAGAATAAAGCGACTTTTTTCGTGGTGACTGTATGTATGTATCAAACAAAACAAATAGCCATAGACCACACAAATTTTATATATGGGATTGCTGTAAGATGTAGTTTGGCACATTCCTTTTTTATTGCAATCAACATTTCCAATTGTGTATATTTAAATGATGAAAATATTCGTGTTTTGGGAGTATCAAATTTTCTTTTAAAAATTAGCTTTTGATGAATAACGGAATCTAAATATGTGGTCTCTCAGTTCTGTATTTATACTTGGAAAAATTTTTTACTTGTTATGAAAAATTAAAATTATAAGAAGTTGACCGGGATATTTAAAGTCAGTTCTTGAAGTCATTTTCCACTTGTCATGCAGGATCAATTAATTAAGTTAGAATACTCAAAAGCAGCAAAAAGTGTGTGTAATTTAATAGGCTGTACTAGCAAATCATATGTTACCCGCATCAATTTTTTTTTTCTTTTTCTTTTTTTTTTGCATTTAGTTTGTTCAGAATTGAATATGTGATGGATTTTAAATTTGTTATTCAATTTATTTTGCATTATTATCACCATTTGTTGCTACTCTCAATGCACAACTGGATTGGGTTTTGAACAGCTTTTTGCTTTGTATTTGTTCATGTGTGTATATATATATACTTCTATATGTATATTTGTGGGTGTACGTGTATTGTAAAATTTAAAAAAATTATGTACTTTGAAAAAGTTACTTGGGGGGGGGGGGGGGAATTGATTTAAGTAACACCTTTTATTTCTATTTTCAATCTATAGGGACTGTTAAAAGAACATTCTGATTATTCTTCAACTGTAGAAAAACTGAATAGCTTAGGCACTTCTTGTGATACAGTTGTGAAAGGGGACACCAGTCCAAAAAGGAAAGCTACGAGTCCCATCAAAAAACCTTCTAGTCCAACTCGAAAGTCTCCTCCAAGTATGTATTTGTGTGCTTCTCTAACATTAACGTATTTTTACATGATAGCTTTAAAATATTTTCTGGTTTAATTAAATTAAAAACAAAAAAGGCGGATTGTCTTTAAAGGGGGCTTTGGATTTTTTCTTTTATACATTTACAAAAAAAAAAAAAAAACACAAAAAAACAAAAACAATTTGTAAAAAAAAAAAAAAAAAAATTTATTTGGGGGGGGGGGGGGGCGTTAATTTCGTTCCCCCAAAGGTTTGGGCGCCAAAAAAAAATTATTTGCTGTAAAGCAAATTACTTGGGTTGGGGAAATTGTTTTGTGGCAGAAAAAAAACTGGGGCCTATTTTCCCAGTATAGGTTATTTTTTTGTTAATTTTTGTTTATTTGTTACTTTTATTTTTTTCAAATAAAAAAGGGTGGGTTTTTTTTTCCAGGGAGGGGGGGCCATTGGGTAGTTTAGGGTAAGAATAAAAAAAAAAAAAAAATAATTAAAATGTAAGGAAAAAATTAAATTATTAGTTAAGTTTTTTAAGTTTTTAAGTTTATTAAAGCGACCCATATTTATTAACAATTTTTTTTTCCATTATTATTATTTTATTTTTTTTTCAGAAATTTCTAGCGGGTCAAAAAAAAAAAAAAAATGGGATTAGGTTTTCTCAGTTTTCTTTTCAGTAAGGGTTTGTGCCCAAGTGGGGGAAACATTCTATTTGGCAAAAAAAAGGGGGGGCACTTTAAAATTCAACGGTTTGTCAAAGTTGGGAAGATTTTAAGCAAGCGTAGAAGTTTTTCTTACGGGGCTAAAAATTATTGGGGGGGAAGGGGGCCCAAATGGATGGTATGTTACCCCCAATTTGTAAAAAGGTGTTTTCTTTTTTGGGGGGGAATACACACAAAAAAAAACTGGAGGGGGGAGGCAGGGAAAAAAAACCAATGGGGCCTTTTTGCCCATTTAAAAAACAACCTTGAATTTTTAAAATTTTTTTTGCCTTCTTTTTAAAAAAAAAAATTTTAAATTTTTGGCAAGGTTGAGGAAAAAAAAAAAAAAAAAAGGGAGCGGCGGCAAAAAAAAATTATTTAATAGTGTTAAATTTCTTGTATTCCTGCAGCAAAAAAAATTCAATTATTTTAAAGGGAAAATGTAACATTAAAGAAAAACAAAAATTTTTATTTGGTTGAGGTAAATTTGGGGACCCCATAATGGGATTGTTCCCCTAATTATTATAAAAAAAGGGGAGTAAAAATATGTTGGGTTTATGTCTTCAAAAAATTTTTCCCGTCAATTTTTAAAAAAAAAAAAAAAAGTTGTAAAAAAAAATTGCAAAAAAAAAAAATTTTTTTTGTTTTTTTTATTTTTGTAAAAAAAAAAAATTAAAGGGGTTATTTTTAAAAGTTTTTTTCAGGTTTTTTTTTCGCTATGTTAATAATTCAAAAAAAAACAGATTTTGTTGAATATTTAGTTTTTTGTTTTTTTTTGTTTTTGAAAAAAAAACACATTTATGTTTCCCCACCCCACAAAGTTTAAAATTTGAAATTCCCAAAAAAAATAAAAGTCAGTTTTTCACATTTTGCCATGGATCCCAAAAAAAAGGGGGAATATTTTAAAAATGTTAGCCCCATTTTATCAAAAAAAAGGGCAAAAAACCAGGAGGGGGGTTTTTTTTGAAAATTGTTTTTTTTTTTCTATTTTAAAAATTTTGTGGGGAAGCGCTTAGTTTTTTTGTTTCAACTTTCTTTTTGAATACGTTGTAAGGGTCTTAAAAAAAAAAACTTAATGGGGCTTTTTTTTTGTTTTTGGGGGGGATTGTAGGGGGAACGCCACAAAAAAAACTTGCCCTTGTACACAAAAAGGGGGGCTATTTTTTTAAAATAGTACCCACAAACTCCGTTTTTTTGGCACCCCCCCCACACTTTTTCATTTTAAAAAAAAAACTTAATTTTTTTTAACTGAGGGGGGGTTTTCATTCTACAACAAAACAAACAACCTTAAAATCCCAATTTTTCCTCAAGGGGCAAAAAATTTTGATAAAAAAATTGGACATAAAAAAAAAAAAAAAAAAACTGGCAAAAAAAAAAATTTTCACAATTCCAAAAAAAATTATTTTTTTTTTCCTAGTCAATTTTTTTGGTTCGTTAAACCAAAAGAGGTTTTTCAAAACAACTTCTTTTAGTTAAATTTTTTCTTTTTTTTCAATTTTAAATGGGGAGTGTAAAAAAACAAAACTTTTCCCCCCCCCCAAAAAAAAAATTAAATAAAAGTATAGGGAACACAAAACAGGGGGAGGGACTTTGAATGAAAAACAAAAAAAAAAAAATGGTTTGAAGAATTCATTTTATTTTGGTGGAAAATTTTTTGTAAAAAAAAAAAAAAAAAATTGTTGGCCATTTTGGCCAAAAAAACCCATTGAATTATTTCCAAGGGCATGGTTAAAAAAAAGTTAAACTTTCCTTGGTTAAATTGGGGGGGGGAAAACGTATTATTGGGGGGGGGACTTTTTTTTTTTTTTTTTTACGGGGGACAAAAACGAATGTAAGCAAAAAAAAAAATATAGGGGGGGCCCAGGTAAAGGGGGGGGGGCAATAGGTGTAATATTTATATTATATGGGGGGGGAAAACTGTGTAAAAATTTAGGGGATATTTATTTTAAATTTTTTTGGGGGCCTGGTATTTGTTTGTTTTGAACCAGGGGGGGAATGTTTTCTTTTTTTAAGTAAAACAAAAAATTGGGAAAAAAAAAAAAAAAAAAAAAATTGGTTTGCCAAAACTTCCAGCGACAGGGAAGGAAGGAAGGGGGAAGCCCCCCCCCCCCCCTAGGAATGATGGGAAAAAACAAAAAAAAAAAAAAAAAAAAAAAAAAAAAAAAAAAAAAAAAAAAAAAAACAAAAAAAAAAAAAAAAAAAAAAAAACACAAAAACCAAAAAAAAAAGGGCAGGAGGGAAAAAACAAACACCTTTTCCTGGGGCATAAGAAAAGTTTGGGGGGAACAAAAAAAAAAACAACAAACCCAAATCCACAAAGAAAAGGAAGGGGGGGAACATTTGGGAAACAAAAAACCCAAGGGGATGGTTTGGGAAAAAAAAAATTTAATTTGTTTAAATTTATGTGGCTTTAATAACAGCCAGGGGGGAAAGGGGGGGGGGAAAGGCAGGGAAAAAAAAAAAAAAAACAAACCCAAGAAATAAGAAAAAAAAAAAAAACAAACAAACCAAAACAACAAATTCCAGATAAAATTATTGACCACGGTTTTCCTTCAAAAAGAAAGGGTGGATTTTTTTTTTTTTTTTTTTCAAAAAAAAAAAATTTATTTTTTTTTTTAAAAAACCCCCCCAACCCACCATTGGGAGTTTGGTTTTTTTTTTTGCCAGGAAAACCCACGGGGGGGGGGGGGCCATAATTGCACAAAATTTTTTTTTTTTTTTTCTTTTTTTTTTTTTTTTCTTTTTTCCATGTTTTGAATTCTTTTTTCCCATTTGACCCCCCACGGAAGAATTTTGTAAGGGGGAGGGGGCCCCCTTTTGTGTGCGGGAGCAAATTTCCCCCCCCCACCAAAAAAACAAAAAGGTTTTTTTTTGGGGGGGGGTTTTTCCATAAAAAAATTTTCAAAACACAACAAAAAAAAAAAAACACCCTTTTTCTTTTTATGTTTCAAATCGGGGGGCCCCAAACCAGGCGGCATGGGCCGGAAAAGGCGGGTGGGTTGGAAAAAAACGGGTCGGCTGGAAATGAAAACCTTGTAGTTTCAGTTTGCCGAGGATCGAAATGTCCCGTGAAACGGGGGGGGCTTTGGCATTGGGGCGGGGGTTTTTTTCGTGGGTTTTTTTCCCCATTTTAAAAAAAAAACAAAAAATTTTGTAATAATTGGAAGCCAAGGTTTTCCCTTAGGGAAGGAAGGGTCCTCCATGAAAAGGGGGCGCCAAATTCCTCCCCCTTTTCAAAGGGGCAAGATAGTTCCTCCCGGGAGTTGGCTTTTTTTTTGGCCCAATTTAAGGTCGAAATTTTTAAAAAAAAAAAAAAACAACCAAAACCTTTTAAATGTCAATTTTCCCCCCAAATTGGTTTTTTGTTTGTTGTTTTTTCTGTTTTTCTCGATTGTTCTTTGCCTTATTTACTAAGGATAATAAAAAAAAAAAAAAAAAAACAAAAAAAAAAACATGGTTTTTTTTCTCACCCCCCATGTTTTTCATGTTTCTCTTTTTCCATTTATTGGTTTTTGGTTGTTTGGTTCCCCCCCCCCCACATAAAAAAAAAACATTTGTTTTTTGCCCAGGGGGAGGGGAAAAAAAAAAAAACAGCCTTTTTTTCGGGGGGGGGGGGGGGGGGGGTGGTGGGGAACCCATTGTGGCCGGGGCAATTTTTTTGCTTACGGTTGATTTTTTCCAATCGGGGTTTTCTAAAGGGGGGGGGGGCGCCTCTTTTCCTGAAAAAAAAGGGGGGTGTTCAAAAAAAAAAAATTTCTTTTTTGCTTTGGGCTTTGAAAAAAAAAAAACAAAAACAACGCGCTGTTATGGTGTGTATATTTTTGGGGGGCATTTATTAAAGGGGGTCGTTTTTTGTTTTTTTTTTTTTTTTTTTTTTTTAAAAAAAAAAAAAAAAATTTTATATTAAAAAAAATTATTTTAATTTTTTATGAAATTAAAAATATTTTTTTAAATTTACAATTTAATTTAAAAAAAAAAATTTGTCTTCTTAATATTCTTACATTTGTGTTTTGTATTGTTTTTGGGCGCATTTAAGTTTTTTAAAGTGTAAAAAAAAAACGTTTTTATAATTTTTAACACCATCCAAAAAATTTTTTTTTTTTAAAAAACAAACAAAAAACAAAAATCATCTTTTCGTAAAAAATTAGGGTCCTAATTTTTGATTTCTGTTGGAAAAAGGGGAAAATTTACCCTTTTAAAGGCCCTTTAAAAAAAAAAAAAAATGATCAATTTTTAAAAATCTAACATTTTTGTATTTTTTTTTTTAAATTTTTCCCAATTTTAATTAGGGTTTTCTCCCCAAAACACCCCCAAATTTTTTTGCGAAAAAAAAGGGGGAAATTTTTCAATTTTTTTAAAAAGGAGGGGGACACAACCACAAAAAAA